TGGACGCATCGCCCCGGACAGCCGAATTTCTGCATGATCTTCCACATTCCTTCAAGATTCACTGTGTCGAAGGCTTTCGTCAGGTCCACGAAGTTAGAATACAGGTGGGTCCGCGTCTCCTGGCACTTCTCCTGAAGTTGACGGGCGGCGAAGATCATATCCCTGGTCCCGCGTTGACGACGGAAACCGCATTGGCTTTCCGGTAGAAGACCCTGTTTCAGATAATTATTCAGACGATTGAGAAGAATGCGAGCGAGGATCTTCCCGGCGATGTTCAGCAAGTTGATGCCACGGTGAGTATCGCAGAGTTAGAGGTTCCCTTTTCGCTTGTAGAGATGTGCGATGGTTGCGTCCTTGAAATCTTGCGGTACTTCACCTTGACGGCACATCTCCAGGAAGAGCGCAGTCAGGTAACTCATCAGTTGGGGACCTCTGTGCTTGTAGACCTCAGCAGGGATTGCGTCCGATCCGGGTGCTTTCCCGCTGGAGAGCTGCTGCACGGCCCTGATGGTTTCCTGGAGAGATGGCAGGGGGTCGGTAATGAAACCGAAAGACTCGCTGCCATGGCAAGAAACGCCTGAAGTCGTTTATTGGATCTGGTGCATTTGCGGATAAAGCAACTACTTCGGAGAAACCGGAAGACATCTCCGAACGAGAATGACCGGACACCTTGCGGCGGTGCGGAGAAATGACGCCAGATCTCAAGTTGCGGGTCATTCGACGAGATTCGGCCACGCATGCAAATTCGACGAGGCCGAAATTTTTGCCAGAGGTGACAACTGCGTGAGTCGGGAGCTACGTGAATCATGGTTTACTGCCCCCCTGTCAATTAACAAGTGCAATGAACTTCCCCTTCCATATTCGGCGCTGAGACCTTGTTTAGGAAGGGTAATTAGGCACGCGGGGAGCGCACATGTGAACACTTGTCCCAATACCAGGGTCGGTGCGTCAGATGGTCGAGCCATCATCGCACCAACATCTAACGCACGTGATCAAATTGCATCAATTAACGACACGAATGTCGGCCATCAAATAATTTGCACACCAAGTGCAACGATCCCGGATGAAGGGGGGGGGTAGGCGTGAATGTTCATAGGTAACGGTAGTATGACGACTGCATCCTATAAATACTGCAGCCCTTGTTCGTGAATCACCCGTATCTTCTGTTGCCTCTAATGATGGATTTGATCAGGAATCCGAAACGTCAGGCTAATAAAGCTCTTGTCCCAGCGATCGTGTCACCTTCTCCAAGACTCGTAGCTGACCCCGACCGAGGCTCAACTTCGTTAAGAATTGTCTGGCGCGGTAACTCTGAGCCAATGAAATCGGAGACTGGACACGCCCTATGCACGGAAGCATTACAAGGAGATGTCAAAGAATGTTTGTGGAACCTTCGAATCAACTATGGCAGTCTCGATTGAACGATGCTGTCCTGTCAAGCAACATCCGACCGAAACAAACCGAAATGGCTGATAACAGCGGTTAAGTAGGAAATCCGAATAAAACGCTATTTGGGTAAATTCTTCTTACAAGCGGAGAGCACAAAAATCTTCAAGTATTAAGACAACATCGAAACTTTCATAAAAGACTCATCAGTGGAGTACGTGCTTCTTATGAACTTAAGCTCCTGGAAGAGGCACACCAAATGCCTAAAGCATTGCATGCGTATATCAGAAGCAATACAAGAAACCGGGACCATCTCGCAGCCTTAAAGCACGAAAATAAGTAAATTGTGTGAGATGGCTATCAAAAAGCCAAGCTTCTTTCAAAATTTTTCCAAAATGTCTTTACCACGGAACCCCTTTTCCAGTCCTGTTCACTGCCACAGATCGCCAACCAACCACTTATAAAAACATTATTATTTACACGGCATTTAGTTTAAACAGAGTTAAATAAGCTGGATACAACCAAGGCGCCTGAACAGGATGAGATCCCAGGTGCACTCCTAGATAGCTGAATACTTAGCAGAACCGCTCTGTATAATCTTCCAATAATGGCTGGAAGTTGGTAGACTACCTGGCACATGGAATTTGGCAAGCATCGTACCTATTCACAAGGTAGAATAACGGCTATATCCAACCAACTACCGGCGGATGAGTCTGACACTTTATCGCTTTAAAATTTACCGACTTTTTCATAGTCATTCGAGTTATTAGCCCTTCCCAGCATGGTTTTTTTTACCAAATCGCTCTTGTGAAGCATGCCATCTATCGTTTCTCAATCTACTTACTTCTTTTCGTAATGGTCATCTATCTGCTGTCGTTTTTTATCTTGATCTTAGTAAAGCCTCCTATAATGTGTCACATAAAAGACTCTTGGTTAAATTATAAGC